TCTGTCTCTCACTGTTCAAATAAACCTACCATTAAAATTATAGACTGATCATGTCTTTGTCAGTGGGAAAACGTACAAAATCAGCAGGGGATCAAATATTTTTTTCCCTCACTGTATGTATGGTATGACAAAAATTATCCCTCTCCTTGAAAACAAAAGAGGCCATTATTCTTTCAGGCCAATTACCCATAAACCTCTAGTAAAACAGACATTGTAGAAGCTTCAGTTCTATTCTTAGTATGTGTGTATAATAACACTATTATAACAACACTGAAAAGGGAACTGGCGTCATGGCAGTCTCTGTGGTAGAGTGAAGGAGGCAGGGTCTCATGATGAACAATATACAAAATGCCATAATAAAGTGAACTAATTTCCCAATCTTCCCCGTTGCTGTTGAGATACAATGGCAGGGCAGGACAACAAAGTCCTCAAACAGAAAAAAAAGTCATTATTCAAGGAAACACCCTGCCTCCATAAACCTTGTTGTTACCAGGTCATTGAGACTAGACAAAAAAAAAGCTTCATGAGTGACATGATGACCTTGATAATAATGTGCAGTATACTGTATAATTGATGCAGAACTATATTTTAAGTATTCTAACTACAGCATCATAAAATGTGTCAGTACTTAGGCGTAGGCTAGTTCTGTGTGCTGCCTAGCCAGTCATCCAATGACTGTGACATAGTTCCCAATAAGCAGCTGCCTACAGCCAGCGGTTACAGTTGGAAGAGTGCTGGCTATGATTATCAGTGGCACAGGTCCAACACTTGAATTCCTGCAGGAGGAGGAGACAACTATCCAAAAGAAAACGGTCAACATAGTACACTGTCTCGCGCTCAAATAATACCAGTCTGTTTTCACACAGACAAATGGCTGTTTAATGCAGGAGCAGTACCAGAATTTCTGAATAGCTTTAATAAATATGTTTAATGTTCCAGCTATTATAAGCAAATTTGCCTGACTATACATTTTTTATAAAGACTTATGATTGCACTGACCACCGTATGCCTGATTCACATTAGTTTATAATTGTTCATGAGCATATGGAAAAAGCAGAATCTCGAGCTTTTCTGATAAAAAAAGAGAGCTCTAATCAACACTGCTCTAATTAATTAATGGGTGACATTAGGTGACATCTTGAGTGGTTCGAGCATTAATGACCTCCCTATGGAGAGGACTCTTCATTCCCAATTAAACCAAACATATCAAATTATTCAGATGCACTGGCAGCACTTTTTTAAGTTAAAGTCTTGTGTTGTGAAAAAAACTACACAATACACAAAGAGAGCGGATGCAAACCAGGCCAGCTGTCTGGCTTCACAACAAAGCCCCCACACTACAGTGTCCATCTTCGGGAAAGGGGTCCATCTTCGGGAAAGAAAAAACAGCTAAACCAAAACGACAGTCATAGACCTTTTCGCATAAAAACTCTCTAAACATTACAAATAGACAAACCAATAGAATGAAAGCCCGTAACCTCCACTGATTAACTGGGAACTGGACATCCTGACCGGTCCAGCGCTGCCTAGCCTGAGCATAGCCTGGTTTGCTAAAGCTAAAGGCGAGCATTAGACTATCAAAATTGTATCAACTAAAGAAAGTGTAGCAGATAATCAAACGCTCCTGTAGCTACAGTACATCGTTATCTTTATTGCTTATCGGATTCACAGTAGCCGATTACATGGCAAGGGATATTTGCAACGATGTAGCAAGCCCACAAAGGCTGGAGAAGTGGTCATGCATGCAGCATGACAATAAACTGCCACTAGCCAAGCCAGTCTTACTGCTCTCTCTCTCGCTCTACAATCTACATATCGTTAACCAATAAGACGTCAGCCTTTATAGGCTACCGTAATCATTCTGCATAGGCCCATTGTGAATTATGAGATTGAAAATGTAGGCCTTTCATCTATTCTTCAATCATTTACAAATATGCCCTGGAATTAAAACGTTGTCGTTCCAGATCTTCCAGTTAGATTGACAGAAAGTAAAAACAGAAAAGGGGGAGAGGGAATTCCAACAACTGCATTTATGTATTCATTTGTACAGTTGGTTTACTTGGATGATTTGGTTACAATAAAACATTCTCCCCAAGACAATCACACAGCTGTGGAAAACGTTTTATTATCATGCATTTCTCACTTACCCTCTATTCGGCTGGCTGTTATGAAGGCTTGCTATATCCAATGGAACTGTACACTGATGTCGGTGCCCAGCCCTGTCCTTATGTGCGTTAGTCTTCTCTCAGTTGCGCAGCAATAACGCTATTCCACTACAAATAGCGGAGCGTTGCCTACATCCTCCACGACAGCGTCTGCAGTTCCAGCTCGACCCTTTGGGCGTGTTTTTCCAGATTGATTGGCAATTTTCCGGTCGAATGGGCATTTGGGATACAATAAATGCTACATTTAAAACCAAAGATGTTGAAAAATGTTGTGACATTATGCAAATAAATTCGATTAATATGCATTAGTTTGCATTGTTTTGGCCGAATAAAAGCAATTTTATGTGATTAGGAAGGCTGATCTCGCGATCATACCAATCTGATAGGCCTACCAACGCGATCTTGTGGTTGTAGTTTCTATTTTCAACTGTGCAATTCAAAAATTGGGCATCACGTCCAGAATAAAACGACAAGTTCCGTGGGCCATTGCTTGGTTTACGGAAGTATTTGGAAAGCTGCTCATTTCAACGGTTGCCATCTGAGGTGAAACTAGGCATAGCCATCTCTGCTAATCTCCAGATAATGTCTCTGTAGTGTCTTTTGTTATGTACATGATAGGAACGTTTTTGGTGTGATATTTTTTTATGTGAAGGTAGCTAGCTACATCAAGAAGACACACATAACGTTACGTTCACAAGTTATCCATGAAGCCACTGTTGGACTCTGATGAGGAGGAAGAAGAGTTGGGAGCGTATCAAAAGAAACTCAGAGGTAACGTTAGGCTAGTTAGCTAGCTAAAGGTAAGGCTTGAGTTTAGCCAGAAAATGATGCGCTGTAACTAGCTAGCTAGCTGGTCTTTTTGTTCTATTTTGTGGTTGACATTAGACATAGGCCTACTAGCTACTTCAGGTGTTTTAAAAGCTGGCTAAATAAACAAGACAACATCCCCACGTTTACTCTCTAGTCTGTCTCTTCTCAAAAGAGAGATACGTTACATTGTCATCAGTTTGTTATTCAGCCTTGAAAATACACAGTTATATCTGTTACACAGTAAACCTTTCAACATGATGATTTGACCCCCAGAGAGAGCCAACCGCAGCATCCAGCAGCTCAGCAGTGCACTGGAAGAGCCCAGCTCAGATGCAGAGGGCATGGAACCAGGCAGGGCTGGAGACACAGACTGCACGACTGGAGAGGACTCATGGAACCAAAGGCAACGGAGTGAAGCTGGTACTTGAGCCTGTGATTAATGTCATCACTTGGGTCCCATAGACCCGGGTTTTCCAAATCTGGTCCTGGAAAACTACTGGCTCTGCAGGCATTAATTCCAGCCGTGCAGTAACACACCTGATTTGACTAATCATAGTCCAGATTGAGGACTCTTGTACTCCAGACTCAGGACTATGCTTAGTTTAATACTTTAGTGTGTGAGAGATGGGCTGGAGCAAAAACCTGCTCCCCACTTTCTGCTGTCCAGGACTGGAGTTGGAGTAGCTACAGATTTTATGCCAGATATGTGATAACAATGTTTCCATTACTGGGTGTTACAGGTTAGCTTATGCAAAACACCGCCATAGATGTTTCAACTAACCTGCTCTTGGCGTTACTGTCTTCGTTCTCGATTCTGGGAAAAGGGTATCTTATAAATGTCACTGTCCATTTGCAGGTGGTTCTACAAAAGAAAAAAGAGAACTCAGAAAGATATTAAATCCATGTTTTGTACTGCGCAAGGAGGTTCCTCGCCATCTTAGCTGCCACACATCTAGCATTTCCTAGCATCTTTGCAGGATTAGTCGTTTCTATGCGACGCGGCCTTGGCCACGTGTAGAAGTAGATGGCAGCGCGTCACACAGTGCAACCAAAACAACTTGCAAGAGGCATTTCTCACTCCATACAAAACATGAATTTAATATCTTTCTGAGTTTTCTCTGGTTTTTGTAGGTCTACCTGCAACTGGATACCGACATTTATAAGATACCCTTTTCCCCGAATCGAGAACGAAGACAGTATCGCCAAGAGCAGGTTAGTTGAAACGTCTATGGCGGTGTTTTGTATAAGCTAACCTGTAATGCCATGTAACAGACACACACATTATTCTTAGTAATGTAATATTGTAAAATTGTAGTGAAATAATGGAGCAATGTATAACTGTAATGTAATAATGAAGCAATGCAAATTTGTATGATGTAATGTTTTATTTCTGTTTGGACTCTAGGAAGAGTAGCTGCTGCCTTGGCAACAGCTAATGTGGATTCTAATAAAATACTAAATGGAAATATAGTTATCACATATCTGGCGTACAATCAGTAGCTAGAGTTGGAGAACCCTACCATAGAGCATCAGCACTGATTTCCCAGAATAACACGCGCACTTCATTATACATCCCCATGGATGTTTTTTGTAATTAGTTTTACCTTTGTATTTGCACCGCTACATATACTAATGGCTTATTTTGTGTTTCAGTCAATCAGCTGCGATCACTCCTGCAAAAGCAACAAAAAGAGACACTTTCACTCACTTCTCCTTCAAAGACAAAATCTTCCCCAAAGGTACTATCCTCAAGACCGTGCATAAGAATCTATGATAAGACTTAAGACAATTAACACAACGTAGATGTCTAGATGTCCTTTCCCTTTATCAGCCTACTTAGATCAGATTAACTCCATTTAATCAATTCCATCCTATGGCAATATATTGATTGATCACCAAAAAACACTCTTGGAAATAACTATCTAGTGATTGCGTTATTGAGTTCAGACTCTGGTGGTGTGGCAGACTAATTAGTTTTTTGCACAATTCGGTTGGGTGCAACACTTTTGTTGTCCCATTGTGAATATGTTTATGACTAACACACAATTCTTCTTTAATCCATATTACCAGAGGTGTCAAGATGATGTGAGCTCTAGAATGCCTGCCGTTAAAGACCTGGTCCCCATTCTCCACAACCAGTCAGAGTACATCCAGCACCTGGAGGCTGAGGTCAAGTTCTGCAAGGTCTGTCTGTCTGATGAGCCCACCTCAGTCTCGCTACCACTGACTCTCATTAAAGTTCTTACTCAATTTGTTCACCAATGGATATTCATTACATGTAATGAATTATAGTGGTAGATGTCCATCTTGCTGGACATTTATAACCCACAACTGTGTGTATGTCTGTGTATCTGTTGTTGTTTGTGACTGTGCGTTGTTGTTGTTGGCAGGAGGAGCTTCTGGGGATGAAACAGAGGATAAGGGTGGTGGTGGTAGAGAATGAGAAACTACATAGAGAGATCAAGTCCAAAATGGGGGAAGAAACCCTGAAAGACTACACTCTCTTAGATGGCACGGTAATGTGTTTTCACAATGATGGTTCTGCGTTAAAATTCCATTCTGGAGATAAGCAAAGTGCAGACACGACAGAATAAACAATTTTTCATGATTGTATTCTCTCCTAGGTGAATTCCGAGCCGTCCAGAGCAGACAATTCTCAAAGAACAGCATTTATACCAGCTCACAGTGTCTTTCAACAAGCAGAGGAACACAAGTGGAAGAAAGAACTGGTAGGCCTGTATGACTATGGTCACCTCTCTCCTTCCATACTGAGTACTGCAGCTGACAGAATTTCTACATGTAAATAAAGCTTTTAGTACCCTAGGTTTTACATTTTTAAATTACTTGAGAGTAATGTTGACAGCTAATCTCCTCTCCAACATCACATTTTCATCTTGGCCTCAGGAGCAGCTCAAATCCCTCTATCTAGCCCAGACAGAGACACTGGAAGCTCAAGTAAGGTCACTGAAGTAAGTGAACTGTAGGACTTTACAGATCAGCATTAATTCACAGAGATCTTGCATATCTGATTAATCAGGGTTTAATTTTTCATCAGCGTCTATTCGTGCATTCTGTTTTTCCTGATATTCTATGTTGTTTTGATCACCTCCATTCAGGAAGGACCTGGCCAGCAGTCAGAAGGAGTGTGAAGAAGTCAAAGGTCGTCTGAGACATAAGGAAGCGATGGCAGCGGCGGGCAGTGCCAAGCAGTGCGTAGGCGGCCTCTGTCTGAAGTGTGCCCAGAATGAGGCCGTGCTGGCAGAGACACACTCCAACATGCACATCCAGGCCATTGAGAGACTCACCAAGTCAGTGATCATGCATTTTTCTCCTTTTCTCCTGATGTTTTGTCCTTTATTGATTAGAGAGTAGTTGGGTTCCTTCAAGGTCTCTTCCCCCTCATACCACCAAACTACCAAGGGCCATTTTTCCTATCCAGTACGCCTAAGGCTTTGCCATTGATCACACTTTATTTATTCCCTTGTTCATTGGTTGGTCAGTGCCTCTGAGCTATGTCAAAGGAAGAATGTTCACATTGAGATGTCATCTCAATCAATCCAGTTGGCATATTCTGACAAAGCAATCAATTTTCCATCCCCTTTAGCAAGGTTGTCAGTAATTCAGTCTCCATGTCAATCACAAATGACAAATCTGGCTTTGATAGGGCATGGCATGTCTACAAGTGACAATGTGATAATTAGTATCCTTACACCAGAATGATTATTGATGAACAGAGCTTTTATTTGCCCACAATGAAATGAAAATGTGTGTGTGCGTGTCCCACAGAGAGCGTGATGAGCTGATGAGTGTGCTGTGCTCTTTGAGGGCCAGTCAGAGTGAGGCCCAGCAGAGGGAGTGGGCAGCCTACCAGCAGGTCAAACAGGCTGTAGAGATGGCTGAGGAGGCCAACCTGGAGAAGACCAGGGTGAGTTAGACAACCACTCACTCACGGAGCATTACTGAGCAACAGTGACCTCTACTGGTCAGGCTGCTCAACTACACACTTTAATGGCTTGGACCCAGGCCCCCAGTGTCTGGTCTGGAGCGTGAAGTCACAAGCTCTGCCAAAAGCCCTGGTCTGCCCTAGAAAGCCTATGTAAATTATGATCGCCAGAACAAACCCCAAAAATATTGACGGACGTTTTTAGGCTCTAAAATGTGTTTATTATGATCAAGTTTGATCCCCACTGTGAATTATTTTAAAGTTTGCTACAAATCGAGATATTTAATGAAATAGTCATCCATTCTGACTACTACATTTGTCGAACACAGGACCACATGCTGAAACAGACCAATCATGGGCCAGCAGGCTACGAGGAGGCTCCATAGACATTAAGGTTGACTCTCAGTCAGGATGAAAACGACTACATCGACCATGATCCTTTGCTAGTTATGGCCACTTTCACCATGTTACTTAGCTATGTTTTGGGTGCCATTGAGCAATATGGCACACTTCAAATTCAAATACTTCCGGCTTCATGCGCCATACGTGGATGACGTCAGCGTTATCACTATCTACTGGTTTTAATGTCTTTGCTTGGACCCTTTTGTAGGTGATTAGTCTCTCTAGACATCCGGGTTGCCTCCCTCAATGTTCCAATGTTTGTACATAACACGTCTGTACATAATAGAACATCAGTTTGGCATAGAGGGACTACGTCACTGGCTACGCACTACCTTATCTGCTTGAATAAAATACCAAATAGTAGCTAGCAAGATGGAGATCACAGAGGTTATTTTTAATCACTGCATTTCACAAGTGGCTAGTTTGCATCAACTACCTTCACTAAAACCACTTTCGTTTAGAATCGCGACGTTCTGGCATGTCTTCCTTTTTTTCCCTTATCAGACTGACCAAGAGAGTCTGTCATATCTAGCAGACTCTAGTCACTGCTGTTGCCTAGGGTCGGCTTTTCGAGACTAGTACAGTACCTGATTAGAACTATAAACTCTATTTTACAATAGTGAATCTGAAAGGTTTATATGATGCCGTACATGTTTTCAAGATATAGAAGTGGTAAAAATAAGAAAGGTATTTTTTTTGTAAGACACTTGAAATTCATTTTTTGCTGTATCCTCCTCCCTTTGACCCTTGTGTGTACCCGTCCGTGTCTGTACTGGTTTTGTCCTTCCTACAGGCGGTGGTGCAGTGTGAGGCATTTGCCAGGGAGCTGGCCAGACAGAGAGAGAGGCTGGAGACTGAGATGGCTGCAGAGCAGGAGAAAATCTCTGAGGCCAGAGAGGGGGCACGCAACGAGGCCCGCAAGGAGAAGGAGGAACTGGCCCAAACGGTCTGTCCGTCTGCCTTTTAATCTTTCATTAAAGCAAATTGAGATATGTTAAACTTTCTCTATTTATCCTAGTCACTAATTGAATGTTTTATTAAGGTAATACAATAGCACCAAGCATAAAATATATTGAAGATGCAGTATTTTAGTATTTAAAAACAATATATTTTCTACGTAACTACTGTGTAATGTAAAAAAAATGTAAAATGTACAGTGCCTTCGGAAAGTATTCAGACCCCTTGACTTTTTCCACATTTTGTTACGTTACAACCTTAATCTAAAATTGATTTTAAAAATCCTCAGCAATCTATACACAATACCCCATAATGACAAAGCGAAAACAGGTTTTTAGAAAATGTTGCTAATTTATAAAAAGTAAAATAAAAGAAAGACCTTATTTACATAAGTATTCAGACCCTTTGCTATGAGACACGAAATTGAGCTCAGGTGCATCCTGTTTCCATTGATCATCCTTGAGATGTTTCTACAACTTGATTGGAGTCCACCTGTGGTAAATTCAATTGATTGGACATGATTTGGAAAGGCACACACCTGTCTATATAAGGTCCCACAGTTGACAGTGCATGTCAGAGCAAAAACCAAGCCATGAGGTCGAAGGAATTGTCCGTAGAACACAGAGACAGGATTGTGTCAAGGCACAGATCTGGGGAAGGGTACCAAAACATTTCTGCAGCATTGAAGGTCCCCAAGAACACAGTGGACTCCATCATTCTTAAATGGAAGAAGTTTGGAACCACCAAGACTCTTCCTAGAGCTGGCAGCCCGGCCAAACTGAGCAATTGGGGGAGAAGGGCCTTGGTTAGGGAGGTGACCAAGAACCCAATGGTCACTCTGACAGAGCTCCAGAGTTCATCTGTGGAGATGGGAGAACCTTCCAGAAGGACAACCATCTCTGCAGCACTCCACCAACCAGGCCTTTATGGTGGAGTGGGCACACGGAAGCCACTCCTCAGTAAAAGGCACATGACAGCCCGCTTGGAGTTTGCCAAAAGGCACCTAAAGACTTTCAGACCATGAGAAACAAGATTCTCTGGTCTGATGAAACCAAGATTAAACTCTTTGGCCTGAATGCCAAATGTCACGTCTGGAGGATACCTTGCACCATCCCTACGGTGAAGCATGGTGGTGGCAGCATCATGCTGTGGGGATGTCTTTCAGCGGCAGGGACTTGGAGACTAGTCAGGATCGAGGCAAAGATTAATGGAGCAAAGTACAGAGAGATCCTTGATGAAAACCTGCTCCAGAGCGCTCAGGACCTCAGACTGGGGTGAAGGTTCACCTTCCAACAGGACAACGACCCGAAGCACACAGCCAAGACAACGCAGGAGGGGCTTCGGGACAAGTCTCTGAATGTCCTTGAGTGGCCCAGCCAGCCCGATCTAACATCTCTGGAGAGACCTGAAAATAGCTGTGCAGCAACGCTCCCCATCCAACCTGACAGAGCTTGAGAGGATCTGCAAAGAATGGGAGAAAATCCCCAGATACAGGTGTGCTAAGCTTGTAGCGTCATACCCAAGAAGACTCGAGGCTGTAATCGCTGCCAAAGGTGCTTCAACAAAGTACTGAGTAAAGGGTCTGAATACTTATGTAAATGTGATATTTCCGTTTTTTAAATATACTTTTTAGCAAACATTTCTAAAACCTGTTTTTGCTTTGTCATTATGGGTTATTGTGTGTAGATTGATGAGGAGAAAAACCAATTTAATCAATTTTAGAATTACATTTACATTTTAGTCATTTAGCAGACGCTCTTATCCAGAGCGACTTACAGTTAGTGAGTGCATATATTTTTCATACTGGCCCCCCGTGCGAATCGAAAAGGCTGTAACGTAACAAAATGTGGAAAAAGTCAAGGGGTCTGAATACTTTCCAAAGGCACTGTATATGTAACAAAAAAGCTGTAAACATTTAAAACAAAGTTACTTTTGTCCTCTGAAGAGGGGATGGGACAATACAAAAATAAAAAATGGCCATTGTGCTCATATTTGCCACCATCTAGTGGAATAACTACACAAATACACCCATGCAAAACGTGTAGCGCGTTCTTCCAGACAGTAGGATTTCAGTTTGATCAATTTGGTTGTCTCCACTCCCAGGTGGCCAGCCTGTCCCAGAGGGTAGCAGAGCTGGAGGGTCAACTAGCCAGGGGGGTCAGAGAGAGGGGCTCCCTGAGCACCCAGCTGGACGAGACCCTACTCAAACTCACATCGCAGGAGCAGGACACCAGCAAGGTACTGGAGCCACCTTACTACTGTACGACACCTAGAGAGGTTCCAGGGTTTAGCCTGTTGGTGTAGTGGCTAACGTGTTGAACTGGCAGTTTCAGACACAGACACCGTACATGCTACTGCAGTCCCTAGAGGAGAGAGATTTCAGTAACGTCTTTGTAATGCATTTTAAAGCCACTGGGTGGCACCAAAGCCTTGTCTATATCAACATTTTATTTGGAAGCATCAAGCGCTAACCATTCCAGTTCTAGGAGGCAGTTGGGTCGTTCCACCTCAAAAAGCAAAATAAATAGTATTTCAACACCAACCATCTCAGATTGTTCTGAAATGGTTTCTGTTGTTAAAACAGATTAGCATTCCTGCAACATTATTGTGTTGAAATATAATTTGATCTCTGAGAAATTAAGCTAATTGATTGCATCCAAATTGGCCCTTTTAATTTATAGGATTCGTATAATATTCAATAAATATAGTACCTAAGTATTTTCTAACAATGAGTTAGACATGAGGAATCCAAAGAAATGGTTAAAAGCCACCGGTGGACCCTCCCACACCCCATGCCAACAACAAGTATATAATAATAATAATAATAATATGCCATTTAGCAGACGCTTTTATCCAAAGCGACTTAGTCATAGTATAAGTTTTTCTTTGTTTGACAACTATGGAGCTGCGGCTCAGAGTATTGTTTCTTCATCCTATGTAATGTATTCCCAGTGAATTTGGTGCAATTCGTTTTTTTATTGTTTTTCTACAGGACTTCATAAACAACACAAAAACTAAGCGCCCACTATACAAAACATCCTTTAAGGTGATCAACACACTGTATGGTTTCCAAATTCTGTCAAATATTTTTGTTTGTTGTTTAACTTTATAATATACCAAATCTAAAGGGATGTAACTAGATAGTTAATTCCTCCTGTTTGTTATTGAGGGTGAATATGAGACTTTCCAATTGATGGCTATATATGTTTTTGCAGCAATTAGACCTATATTGCAAAAATGTATCTGATGTTGATCACCAATATTTACATTTCCCAACAGACATTATCGTGAGATGGTAGGATATAAATTCCTAGACACAATGAAATGATAGCACATACATTATCCCAAAATGGTGTCAGTTCATATCATAAGACCACAGCATATGTAATAGGATTCCTTTGTGCTTGTTGCTCCTCCAACAGATGTGACATTTCTGGGTGCATTACATGCATTCTGGCAGGAATGTAGTAAGTCCTATGAATGATCTTAAATTGCATTAGTTTATGTCTTTAGGTTTTAAGAGCAGGTATGAGCATTTTCACATATCTGTGACCAATGGTTCCTTATAGGTTCTGAACCATCAGGTAGAATTTCAGTCAACCCTTGATATAACTTGGCAATCAACTTCTTTGGCATGGAAACTTCTTTCAGTATTTTTTCTATGCTTATTCTGTTGAAGCGATTGAATAAGATTTCTGCGTTTTAGGAAATTAAAGAAATGGGCCTTGGATAATCCAAATCTTTCTTTTAATTGATTCAATGACAGTAGAGATCATCATAGTACACATGTTCAAAATTCACGATGCCACTTGAAGGTGTTGTCATTTAACACTGGAGGTAAGGTGGGGTTATTCCAAATAGGGGTGCCTGGCGATATTGGTTCTTTCCACCTCATGAATTTATGTACATTTTCCCAAACACGAGGGCGGCAGGTAGCTTAGTGGTTAAGAGCGTTGTGCCAGTAACCGAAAGGTCGCTGGTTCTAATCCCCAAGCCGACTAGGTGAAAAATCTGTCGATGTGCCCTTGAGCAAGGCACTTAACCCTAATTGCTCCTGTAAGTCGCTCTGGATAAGAGCGTCTGCTAAATAACCAATTATTATTATTATATATATTATTATTATATTACGAATGGGATTGAGAATCATTGGATTGTCTGTTTTTTTTCTTCCATGCCTTGGACCTGAAGTAGTGAATATATTTTAGATCATAAGGTATTACGTTTATGGCTTCAATACTCCTCCATGCACAAGGATAGTCTGCTGTCCATTGTTTAAGTGGACACAGTTGTGCAGCCCAATAATACATCTTCATATGAGGTAGTCCAAGACCTCCAGCTTTATAGTGTAAGTGTAGAACAGTCAATTTGACTCTTAAGGTCTTTCCATTCCAAATAAAGTTGGAGAGCAGGCCATTTATTTTATTAAAACATCACCAAATTCACTAAGAATACATTACATAGTATGAAGAAACAATACTCAGAGCCACAGCTCCAGACTACTTGTCAGACATAGAGAACTGATATTTTATACTCGTTGTTGGGATTGGCGTGGGGGGTCCGTGGGTGGCTTTTGACAATTTCTTTGGATTCCTCACCTCTTACTCATTGTTAGAAAAAAGTTTGGTCCAAATTAGATAATGGGTACTATATTATATGAATCTTATAAATTAAAATGGCCAATTTGGGTGGAATCAATTAGCTTAATTTCTCAGAGATCAAATTATATTTCAACAAAATAATGTTGCAGGAATGCTAATATTATCTGTTTCTAATTACTGAAACGATTTCAGAACAATCTGAGATGGCAGGTGTCATGGCTTGCAGTTGTGTATTGATGGGTATATCATTACAACCAATGCAATCATTAGCTACTGATTCTGAATGAAGACTGTGCATTGAGCTCTATTTAGGTCAACTTAATCTTCTTAATTCTGTTTATTATTACTGCTCAACAACATTTAGTACTATATGTCAAATTCCTGTACATGCAAATGTATTTGGCGAATAAGGTGATTCTGATTCTAATGAAAGGGCTATAGTAGAACACAACTAGGAGCAGACACAGATGTCAATTTCGACTGTGACCCCCTATCCTTTCCTGCCTCCTGTGTGTCCAGGTGTGTGGGGAGCTGCGTTACCAGCTCAGCCAGGCTCAGCTGAAGAGAGAGGAGGCCGAGAGGGAGCTCAGAGACTGCAGCTCCAAGACAACACGGCAGCTAGAGATGACTGAAGAGGTGAGGAGGCCGGCCACGGCAGGGACAATGGAAAAAAAATGGCACAATCTTTTTATTGACTGTGTCAGATGTTATGCCGGAACATTTTAGAAAATTGACTATTCTCAGGTATTTGTGTAAAACATTGGCAGCCCCTCTCAAGCAACTCTGAGTCTCAGTATTTCTGTTCTTATTTGGGATTGATGATTAATCCTTATTTGTCATGTTGAAAACATGGGAGTACTAGTCCTTGTTGGAGAACTTAGCATATTTGAGGTTGCATGGTGTTGCCTCTATTATATACAGGCAAATATTATAGTGAAAAAGGGCACGGGTTATGTATTACGTATAACTAACTCTGTCCCTCTCGCTCGCTGGGGGCAGGAAGTGGAGAAGCTGGGTGTGGAGCTGAGCGGCTGCCGGCAGCGTTTGGACAAGGCCCAGAGGGACGCGGAGCGACTGCAGGCGGAGGCTCTGAGCCTGACAGAGCGGCTGGGCCGAGCTGAGCACCAACTGCACCTCACCAGGTAACCCCTAATCCTATTATACATGCCACAACACCACCGTGCCCGCACCGCGCCACCCTGCCCTGTTCTGTTCCGCTGCCGCCCGCCACTGCGCCAGTGCTCAGCCCCTCAGCGCCCAGCCCGGGCACCAGTCTGCGCCAGCTCCACAGTCAGGGAGCACCGTACCTTATATTAAACTCACCCAGACCGGCTGCTGTCTCCTCTCACACAGACCTCAGTTTCTCCTCATGTGCCAGGGGACAGGGGCATGGGGTAGGGACTGAGATGGGGTACAGGGATAGCAGTATGGACAGCGGTATGGACAGGAATAACATTATGAACACAGATAGGGACAGAGACGGGACAGGGATAGCAGTAGGGACAGGGATGAGGATTCATATGCTGTTTTCTCTTCATTCACAAGGTGTAGCTATCAATCGATGATGTTGATTAAAAAAAACCTGTTTGAATAGAAACTGTGATGTTGTTTGTCTTACATTGTCAATGGCACACACACTGTCTAGCAGTTTTACCAGCTCATAAAGCCAATCAGGCTGTAGCAAGCTACAGTATGTTCCTATTGTTTCTATTTCTGCATTTCAAAAACTATAAGCCAATTTACAAGTTAAGATAAAAATGTGTTAGAAATATTTTTGGAGAATATTTTAGCAGCTGCTGTCAACGTGACATCTAGTTTTTTAAATGCAACTTGTCTTGGACCACCATAAAATATTTTTTGAGCATTTGCTCATCGTTCCAGTTCCACCTACATACATTATGCTGCATTCCATTCCATTTACTATAGACTAGAAGATTTACAAGGCTTTTCATTAGCTCAAAATGGCGCGTAGCAGTGGATAGCAGCAGCCGACAGTTTCTGCTTCCTTTGTTTCTCCTCCGTGTGGCACTGGGTCGGCTGGCGGTCAGCGGCAGATTGGCCCTGCTGGCACCTGCCTGTGCCCTGTGCCCGTCCGCCCAGCACCCTGCGGGTAGGATCAGCGCCTCTCTCTCCTTCCGATGGCCTGCCAGCCGCTCAGTGCAGCCTCCTCCTCCTCCTCCACCACCTCCACACCCCCGGCCGAGGTGTTAGAGCAGAGCCAGGCACAGATGTGCCCCGCTGCCATGCAGAGGAGAGACAGAGTGGTACAGAGTGAACCGTGGTCTCATCCCCTGTCCAACGCTGTGGAGCTCTGATCTGTCTTTAAGTGGGCTTGTCTAATCCAGACAGCTGTGGAGATGGACATGATGCTCCACCATGTGGGTCTTTTTGACTCTGGGGACATACAGGACTGTAGTGGTGCACTGAGACCTCTGGCGCTTTCCTCTGTCATACAGCAAGCTTCTGTGATCTAGTGAGACATAAGGTAAAACTGTGGTCCATCTATCAGAGTTTCCTGTTAGCTCCTTCTTTCTGTTGTAAAAGCTAAGATGACCTGAACAAGAAGGATGGTTGGTATTCCCTAGCCTGGCCTTAGTGTGGATCACTAGTCTGCTCAAGGAGAGGCCTAAACACAGTAGGCCATGATGGACACCAGGAGAGATACCAATTTTCTTTTCAACTGCAACGAAAGCCTCCACTCTACTTGCTCAAATAATTATTATGTGGAAGAACAACATTCAACATTGTTGTTTTTCATTGAACTGGCCCTTTAAGTGAGCCAGTGACCAGTGCAGCCAGCCGTTGGCAGTGGAGGCTTTTTGTTAGGCAGGGGGTGTTTATGTGAACTACAGGGGGAGGTTGGAGAGAGAGAGGGCCAGCAACGTAGCACAGATGCAGCAGACATCTGTCCATGGCCACACTCCTCCTTCAGGCCAATCTAACAGGCCTCTCTCTCTTTCTCCCCTCACTCAAACTCTACCACACTACAGACACAAATCCATCTAAATCCCTTTCGGGGGTGGTCTCTGTAAGTGTCAGGCAGTGCGGCACCCCCGCTGTTCACTTTGGGAGGTACGGGCCCTTTGTAGAGGGGGACGCCCTCTCTGTGTCACTTCCAGGGGAAGAGGGGGCTGGAAGGCAGGCAGCTGTGTGACCAGGCTTCTGAGACAGGCCTTTGATTCATGCTTTTTTGTGTCGTCTTCATCTCACGGACCGAATGATCACAGCTCCCCTTGAAATGGGGGGGGACATGAAGCACTTTTTGCCTTTTTGTTTGTTTTTTGGGAGCTCTCTTCTTCTTTCCACACACACAGAGCACCCCCCAGGCCCTGTGGCGGATGGCGCTGAAAACGAGTCCCCCGTCAGCTCCAGCATTGGATCATCAGCCAGCTGTGCGTTGGGCAGCCGAGGATGTGTCCTAATCCCCCCCTACTCTGTTCAGCTCCTTCTGACGCCTTTGAGCCCAGGCTTTAGTCCCATTGTTTGTTGGGTTGTTTGCTCCTGTCTTTTTTTCATTTCCCTTCCCTCTGCTCTACTCCGGGGACCCCATAGGGCGAAACAAAAAAACAAACAGCATTCTTTCATTCCCATCACTCTCCAGATATTCAAAACCTCAAAAAATGTCCACTTTGTGTTTAGTGGCAATGCTCTATACTGAGGCTTGGAAGGGAAATGGGCTTTCATCCACATGAAATTCTGCATCCATTTTAATGATGGTGTTTGAGAACTGTCGTTGGCAATGTTGGGCCTAAAGTTTGGATAGATTGATAAGCATGTCCCTGCTCGAAGGGGGAACCTGCAGGCGTAGACATGCACATCAAACTCCCAAATATTAATGATGCCTCTGTCAAAGCAAACCCAGACAAGCCTTCCATCTGTTTGTGGTGAACGGATGGACAGAACAATCTAGATACATCACAATACTCCCAGAGAAGGAATGGTCATCTGGCCAGTTCACTTGGTGGATCAGTGTTTGTGTGGATGAATTGATGAGGCAACTACGTGACTCAGTGTGGTTCTGTGTACCTTGACCGTTCTGTTCCTTTGCTGCCAGTCTGCCAACGCCATATTGATAGTATTCACCTATTGCAGATGGCTGGCTGTATCTGGGTCCTGTTCAAATGAACTCTACAGTAGTGAGAATAGCATGCAGAGATTTGAATCCACAGGCATTGCACGGACATTCATTCGCTGGCTCGGTTTGGTTCTGATATTTTCAATGACCTTCTTTTCCATTGAGTTGGATGTGGCAATTGATGTGACACAGACACCTTCGCTACATTATGAACTGTCTGAGAGCCCCCACTCTCCTTCGTGTGGCCTTTCACCCCGACAGCAACAGGGAACCATTTGGGCTACAGAAACAAAGCTGCGACCACCACTGTGCCTGTGATCAAAAGTTTAGCATTTGATCTCAGAATTCCATTAAACACGACACGCTTCTCTGCCCTCCCATTCTCTCTCTTTTTCGCTCTCGCTCTCTCTCCTGTTAGTGCAGAGAGGGGGAAACAGGCCCTGAAAGGGTGGGAATCTGAAAATGAATAAAATAGTGAGCAGATGCAGCTAGATGCCAGAGGGAGATTTATGTGGAGAACCAAACTGCTGCAAACCAAGTCAGTGGGAGGTGGTTGTACAATCAGAGGCAGGATAAAAGAGCCAGTGGCACACAGGCCTCGCTCTTGTCAAAGTAGTAGTAATGAAATCTCGTCCGCTGAGCCTGCTGCCAGCCGAGAGAACCTGTGTTAGCACTTTGGGGTAAGCGCAGGCGCCGGCGCTGCCAGGTAGGAGGGCGGGCACTGAGCGGGAGCTGGGCGGCAGCCATCTTGTTCGGGAGCAGATGGCGGCAAGGCTGGCAGGGGAGGGGCTGCTTAGCAGAACTAATCAGACAGTAACGGATAGGGCAGCTGGGAAGGCTGGCGGCCAGGCGGGAGTGTGCAGGGGAACCGCAGAGTGTCATGATGTTGACAGTGGTGTGCCCATTGGCCTGGGATGAGACCTTGCCGTGTCTTCTCGCCTCACTGTTGGGTGCCCCTCTCCCTGCCATCGTGCCTCGGCCAGCTCGGCCCAATCACGTGGCAAGGTACAGAGACCAACCTGCTCCAGAGAATGTCTCTCTCTTGTTATAACCTTTGCCATTAAGGTACAGAGGGCATCACAGCTATTTGTTTGGCTGCTGCTCTTTAATTATTTTTAATTTGTCATTTTTTAAATTTGTACTTATCTGTTTTTTACTTAACACTTATTTTTCTTAAAACTGCATTGTTGGTTAAGGGCTTGTAAGTAAGCATTTCACCGTAAGGTCTACACCTGTTGTATTCGGCACATGTGACAAATACAGTTTGAGTTGATATTGAGTCAGGTTTTAGGATGTGCCTCATGTCAAGGCAACTGTTTATAGGTGCTATAACCACACATACAAATGGAAGATGAATATTTACATTTTCCTTGTATTCTTTTACTTGTTATGTACTAGTCAATGAATGCAGGGGGAGTATATTGATAATGGTATTTTATGGGGTTAGGTGACAATGCTTTTTTTACAGTGTTTACAAAATAATTGTCTGTTCTTTCAGAATTGAGCTGGTAATGCCAATCTAAAGGAGAAGGAGTGAAGGTGCTGATTACAAATCACAGCCTTATCTTACATTTCAGAGTGTGCTGTATCTATAAAACATATACATTGTAATAAACACACACGTCTTGAAATTGGTGCTGACATACCCATACTTACTTTATTTCTTTCAATGTTTGAAATATATTTTTTAGGAAGCATTTCGTGGCAGGTCTCCTCCATTCAGGCCCAGACTTTCTTTTGACCAAACACATGCGTAGTCTTTTAGTGACAATGAACAGTACCACTCTTCCTTAGCAGATAGGGCAACAGTCTCTGCCCGTCTCTCTATCCCTCCATCTCTCCATGCCCCATTCCTCCATCTCTTCATGTTGCCGGGTGGTACAGAATAGAACGCTGAGAGTCCTCAGGCAAAATGGAGACAAATCTGTCGGGTGCAACTGTTCCCGCTCGGACCAACTCTGCCCAGAGAGAGTGCCCTACTTACTGTTTCTGGAAGATGGGTTACCATCCCTGCTTCCCTCCTTCTCTCCTTCCCTCCTCCTCTCACCAAGACACAGACACACTCTTTCTT